CGACGGCTACGCGGACCCCAACCTGCACTACGGCTCCAAGTCGGTCGAAGACACGCCCGACGCGCGATGGATGCAGAACTCGTATGCACAGCTCATCTCTCAGCTGTCTAACACGCAAGTAGGTGCTGGCCGAGAAAGCTCGCCAGATCAGCGATACTATGAAGGCGGAAATCGTTACTATCAGAGCCCGGAGTACCATGACTCGCTCACGCAGCGAACCGACTCCTCGAAAGACACGCCGCCCACGGCTAGCCTGGCTTCTGGCAGAAGCTCGAGCGATGCCAACCACGACGATCTCAGGACACCTCCTGAGCCCAGCTACGATGCTTTCGAGCCGTCCTTGGAGTCGGCTCACTACCATCCTAGCCCTGCGCATCAGGAGCATCGAGCGCCTCTGTATGCGCAGCCAGATCTACCATATGCTTCATCCTCCTCTGCCTTGCCTCTGGCCAGCCAGACCGCTCCAAACGCTGGTGCCCATGCTCCTCAACTCGGCTCGCCATTCCAGCCGTCGCAGCGCCAGCCACAGCAGCCGACTCGGTCTCTGCAGCGCCAGGAGCTCCAGCAGGTTCTTTCGCGCTACGATATCAGTGATGACTCGGCGCTCGAGATGCTCAGCGACGATTTTGAGGCACAGAGACGTGCAGCTGGCAAGGCCAGGATGATGCCCGGTCAGCACGCCGAGTCGAACAACGCCACCGCAGTCTCCTCCCCGGCGCAGTCGGCTGTTGGCCACGGCAGGCGGGGGTCGTCGAACGTGACCGTGCTCGACGCCAGCAAGCCCTTCACACGCCTCGGAACGCAAGACATCGCCTTTAGCGCAGCCAATCTGTAAGTGTCAGTGCAGAACGACGCCCGAGGTGGGCTGGCGACGCCTCGCCAGGTGGGCTGCCAAGTGGACCCACCATGTGGAAAACTTGGATATTTTTGGCCGCCTGCCACGCGTCACAAGAACGCCTTCACCGCCACATCATGTGTGACGCCGAAACTGACGCCAACTTGCCCTTCCCATTTTTCATTCTAAAAAAATCTTGCGATTTTGACACAGCCCGGAGCGCCGACTGACCGCAGACGACTGCGTCGACATCATTGTGTCGCGCCATCCCACACTGTGTGATGCTCCCCTGCGCGAGTTCGGCGAGGACGGTCAGCCGCTGCCCCCGACCAAGAAGCAGGAGACAAGCGATGAGGAGCGCGCGGCACGCAAGCAGGCGCTGGGTGTCAAGTTTTGCGCCAAGCAGCGCCTCTCGCTCATCAAGGCTATGATTTTGATGGAGTCGCGCTCTGCCTCCTGGAAGCGCGTTGGGCCGTTCAATGCGGCCAACACCAACACTAACACTGCCATGGGTGTCGATCCGATGGATGCTACTGGTGCTACGTCGCACGGAGAGCAGGGCGTTGGCCGTCTGCCTCCCATGCCGAGCCCATGGTCCATCGAGATCCGCCACGAGCAGCTTGATGTGGCTCAGATCAAGGGCAAGTCCAAGAAGTCTGTCGAACTCGCCTCGCTGCGCACGAATGCCCTTTGCACAAAGTGCGAGGGCTCCAAGCTCGGTGCATGCCTCACCTGCAAGGCCGAGCAGGCCGACGAGTGCTTCTGGTGCTCGGGTACCGGTCGCGAAAAGACGCGTGCCCAGGCGTGGTGTCGTCGCTGCCAGGGTGCCGGTGTGCTCAAGTGCAACACCTGCCACGGTTCGCTCAAGTCGGACTGCCGATCGTGCGAGGGTACGGGCATGGGAGAATACGGCTTCTTCGTCGACGTCACGGTCAAGCGGGTCGAGATGCCTGCTGTGCCCCTGGCCACGCTCTTCCCTCAGCTCGAAAGCGCATCTGCCTCGTTCCAGCCCAGCTACGACGAGGTCAGGGCAGCCGCGAAGCTTGCTCTGTGGGACTCGATCACCAAGCTGACCGAGGCGAGGCACCACGCCGTTGCTACCAAAGGCGGCAAGAGCAAGAGCAAGGACATGGTCCCTGTCATGGCCGCGTGCGTGTGGGAGAATTCCACGTCGCATGTGGTTTCTGTGGATGTTCCGCTGACAGCCAAGTTCAAGAAGGGTGCCTCTCCCGCTCTACGACCCGAAGGCCTGCAGAGGAAGATTCCGACGCAGAGGAGGTTCTTCACCGTTCCCACCGACGCTGACCTTTGCTCGGTCGAGCTCTCGGAGGAGGAGGTCAAGAAGATCGTGCATGACTCGATCGGCGACCACGCCATCAGTGGACGCGGTCCTTCACCCGCCACCCCTCCTGACTCGCGGGGTTCTTCGGGCTACGCCCTTGGCAGCCCGTACGGCTCCACTACGCCATCGCCACCGATGAGCCTGTCCGGCTCGTCTTCCGCTTCGCTCGCCACGCCGGACGAGGGAGCCGGCATGTCGGGCTACTCCACCCCTTCCAGGGTCCCGAGCCCTCGCTCGGACTTGCCTCCGGCCAAGCCAGCCGCCAAGGAATTTGTGCATCGTCCCAGCCCGCTCTCCCAGCTTGCAGCGACCACGCCTGCAGCCTCGACCTTCTCGGTGCAGACAGACGCAGCAAGGCTGGACAGCAATTATAGCAACGGCTCGCCTCGCTCTTCTCCCGAGCAGTCCCCTGAGGGTCGCTCCGGACAGAAGCTCAGGAGACCATCGGCGGGCCAGATCCTGAGCAAGAAGCTCAGCTCCAACATCCTCAACAAGCTCAGCGCCCACAGGGGCTCGGTCTGATCGCCGTCAAGACGCTCCCTCCTCTACTCATATACTCCATCTCTTGCGGATCAGCATCAGTACACACCCGTTCACATAGATCATATTCTTGTCGCTCTCTTTTCGTCGTTTCGCCTGCATTCAGCTAAGTATCGTACCGTTCGTAATCTTCGTAATCTCCTCATTATCCTTGTCTCTCATCGCGCTGGCTCGCCAGCTCACTCGCTAGCCTGCAAGTGAGCACGGCCATCAGGCTACCGCCGCGCTTGAGTCATTAAAATTACACGAAGGTCGGAAGGAGAACGCTTTAACACATTGAAGCTTTTTCCTGGAGATTGAGACCGAGTTCCGAGAAACCGTCGAAAAAGTGCGGTCGGTGGAGAAAAAGTTTCCTCTGGGATTCTCAGGCGAGGCTGACGAGCTTTTAGGCGTTGGACCGCACTCGCCATCCATCCTTGCATTGCACCTCATCAGCGACCGTCTGAACTCGCCTTCTGCAAGACCGCATTGCTTTCGAAGACACTCGAAGGACCAAGATGGATCTCTTCGCTGATGCCGGCGATTCGTCCGGCGCCCAGGTGGATATCCGCACCAAGCCCGAGGAGTCGCTCAACCACTTTACAGTCAACAAAGACTTCGCCGAGCGTTACCTGCACAACAAGCAGCGTGCCGAGCTGCACCAGCTCGAGGCCAAGTATGGCAAAGATGCGCTGTCGGATGGCAGCGATGATGACAGCGAGACCGACAGCGAGAGCGATGTGACCGAAGATGAGGACGGCGACCAGATCAACGCCAACGTCGACGCCGCCATCTTCCGCACTCTCCAGCGCATCCGCAACAAGGACGCTGCACTCTACGACTCCAAGACGGACATCTTCGAGCAGGAGGCTAAGGCAGCTGAGGAAGCTGCGCGCCGCTCAGGAGCTGCCGCATCGACATCCAAGGTCTCCAGCACGACAAAGAAGAGCAAGAAGCTCACGCTCCAGGACTACCAGCGCCAGCGAGTGCAGGAGCTCATCGAGACCTCGGAGAATCCTGCCGAGGCACTTGCAGATGCGACCACAAGCGACCGCGTCAAGGGGCTCCAGGACGAGGACGATGATGACAAGATGCCGTTTGCTCAGGAGCAAGAGGAGCTCCGCAAGCAGGTGTCGCAAGCTTTTCATGCAAATGTGGACGAAGCCGATGATCTGTTCGTCAAACGCTCCGAGGCAGAGGGCAGCAACGGCGGCTCGTATCGCGATGCGGTGATTGCCTCGCTAGGACCCGATGCCAGCGAGGACATGGTGCGCGAGGCCATCCGACGCAATCGCGAGACCGAGTCGTCCGAGGCCGTCGCATCTACCAGCACCGACCCCAACGAGCAGAAGGCCAACGAAGACTTTCTGCTCAACTACATTCTCAACCGTGGCTGGATCGACAAGTCGGCAGAGGAGAGGCCAGCTAAGCCGCGCCTGTCCAAGTCGCTCCTCAAGTCGAAATCCACCGATGCAACAGGGGACGACAAGCAGGACGACGATGAGGCAGCAGGCGAAGTGGCAACGTCCTCGAACGCATACGGGCGCGATTGGGAGGCCGAGGCTGCCGAACTCGAGTCGGAAGCTTCGTTTGACTCGATGGCCGACGCGTTCGAGACGGCCTACAACTTCCGATTCGAACAGGGCGCCGAATCGCTGACGATCCCGACCTACTCGCGAACGCCCAAGGACTCGGCGCGACGCACAGACAACACACGCAAGCGCAAGCGAGAAGAGCGCGCGGAGCGCAAGGAGGAGGAGAAGCGTCAGAAGATGCAGGAGCTCGCGCGGCTCAAGAACCTTAAGCGCCAGGAGATCGTGGACAAGCTCAAGAAGCTGCGCGAGGTGACTGGGTCCAGTGTCGAGGATCTGCAGGGTCTCGACCTTGAGGGTGACTTTGACCCGGACGCGCACGACAAGGCCATGCAGAAGGCGTTCGGCGATGGATACTACGAGGGCGAGGACGGCGACGAGAAGCCGACCTGGGACGACGACATTGACATTGACGACATCATTGAGGAGCACGAAGCTGCCACGGCCCCGACCAAGAAGGGCAAGAAGGCGAAACCCGCGCACGATGCCGACGAGGACGACGAGGGACGCATCGAGATGGATGCCGACTTCCTCGACGGAGACGACGGTGGGGAGCAGGGGGCGGCTGGGTCCAAAGAGGCTGCTATCCGCGCGCGCCTGGCGGACAAGAAGCTGAGCAAGAAGGACCGCAAGAAGCTCAAGAAGAAGCTCAAGGCGGCGCTGTCCAAGGGCTCGTCTGCACCAGCCGACGGCTCGGACTCGGAAGCCGACGGTGTCGACGAGTCCATCATGGACGCCGACCGAGCCGGATCGTCATCGATGCCGACCTCTGCAGAGGACAAGAAGAAGATGGCCAAGGACATGATTGATTCGTACTACAACCTCGACTACGAAGACATGATTGGCGACCTGCCCACGCGCTTCAAGTATGCCCAGGTGGCACCTGCCGACTACGGCATGTCGGCCGTCGACATCTTGCTCGCCGACGACGAACAGCTCAACCAGGTGGTGGGACTCAAGAACCTCCAACCCTATCGTCGCGGCAAGAACCGTCCGATTGACCTGGGCAAGCGTCTGGGCACCTTCCGAAAGGAGGTCTACGGAAACACCTCCAAGACGCCCGACGGTGCCGACAAGCCGCAGAAGAAACGTCTGGGCAAGAAGGAGCGCAACCGTCTCAAGGCCGCCGAGTCCGAGCCAAGCAAAGACGCCTAGTTGCACCAGTACCATTCGTCACTCTCAGCATTGCAATACAGGTTTTACATTTTTTCATCCTGTTCCCGTCTAGACCTGCTAGACATGTGTGTGTGTGTGCGCGCGATGGATGCTTACGCGCGCAGCGAGACGGTGGCGGGCAGCGGGTCGAGGACGTTGAGAACACCGATCCAGCGCTGTGGATCCGGACGCGGCATGGGCCCTGCCGAGGAGACGTCGAAGCGGTCGAGGAAGAGCAAGCAGAAGGCCTTGATCTCCGCCACTGCCCAGTAGCGACCGGGACACACGCGCATGCCGAATCCAAACGGCGTCCAGGTGCGCACCGTCTCACCACCGATCTTGAAAGGAGCCGGACGGCGGTCTGTCTCGAAGCGCGTCTCGTCAAACGGCTCAAGAGCACCATTGTACTTGATGCCCTTGCCCTTCTGCTCGGGCCACCACTGCGGGTTGTGCTGGCTGTCGTGAACGTTCCAGAAGAGGAGCTGGAGCACGTCGCCCTGCTTGAGCTGCATGGGCACGATGGTGTTGTTGGGGCCGAGGGTGCGAACGACAGCGTCCTGCAGGCAGAACCGCGGCACGTTCTGCGCGCTGTACACGCGCAATACTTCGTTGACAATGTTGTCCAGCAAGGGCAGGTTGTCGCCCTTGAGCAGGTCCGGGTTGGCAGCGATCTCGCTGACGGTCTTGGGCGCGCCAGCCGATTTCCTGAAAGAGTCGAGCTCTGTGCGGAGGCGGTTGATCATGTCGGGCTGCTGGAGAAGGAGGCTGATGATCCAGGCGCCCGAAAGAGGCGACTGGGTGGATCCGAGCCAGGCGGTGCGCACGCAGATGGCGACGGCATCGCGGTGCGAGAGGCCATGCTTTTGCTCGAGGTCGGCCATGAGTTCGCGCACCTGGAGCGAGCACTCGGACAGATGCTCGTCGATCTGCTGGAGCACGATGTTGAAGAAGCTGTCCCGCGCGGCGAGCGCTTCGGGAGGCGGGCAGCCGCGGGAGAAGGCGTTGAGCTCGGCGTCCCAGATGCAGAACGAGGCGTACTGACCCTCGGGGAACGACTTTGTGAAGAGCGCCTCGACGGTGGACTGGAAGAAGCACACGCGGAGCTGCTGGAAGAGGTCGGAGGTTGCGCCGGGCTGGATGCGCTCGAACTGCCTCTGGACGGCGTCGACGAAACGCTGCTGGAGCGAGGCGAGGCGAGAGCCGGAGAAGAGGTGCGACGAGTGCTTGATGTTGATTCCGCCACCCTCGCGAGAGAGCCAGTTGCCGGCCGTTTCCGAGATGCCCCACATGGGAGCGGCAAAGATGTGGAGCGGGCCGATGTCGAAGCGTTCGGGCTGCTCGATGACATCCTTGAGGGCGAGTGCGTCGCCGACGTAGACGCCCGAGCCACCCGTCGGCTCCACCATGCGGAAGACGTTGCCGTAGCGTTTGCGGCGGGCCAGCCAGTTGTCACGCACGTTGCCCTGGTCCGGCACGCCCGTGTCTGGCGATTCATCGACGAGCGGCGGGCGCTGCAGCGGTGGCGTGTC